CTCCATATTTCTCGCTGGGCCTCGAGCTGGCGTGGGCGAGGCTCTGAACTAGGACCAGGCCCCACAGTGCCCACGCCACCATGCTCATGCCGCCCTTGGCCACGGTAGAAGAGGACAGAGCTACCATATGTTACAGGGACACCACCATCACTCACGATCAATACTACACGTCACACGCACTGTACAACCGCTCGCTCCCGAGGCGCGCGGCACACTGAGGGCCCGAGCTGCTGTCAGTGCCACACCGACGTCCGTGTGCGTGCGTCAGTGCGCTCGGTCATGTGTGATACTGTTCCGAGGCGAATGGTGCTTGAAGAACGGAAAGAAAATAACTGCATGATTCTCTTGGGCGCAATTAAGTGCTATGGAGGGATTGCTAATCGAACGAGGCTTGTCACCTCTGCTTCGACATTTTTCCCTCCTTTGGGTGTCCTCATGTCATTACTTTTTCATAAAGAAATTTGAAGTCCTGGAGCGAAATCGATACAAAGTTCCTATTTTAAAATCAGTTTTCAATTTTCGGAAGAAGAGTTCGAAACCTTTTCTCGCACCTAGTGTTGCCAACGGAAGAGCACTTCGTATTCCACAGGAAATTAAAGCTACGCGAAGTTGAATAGCAAGTTGAGAGGGGAGCAGGACAGAGAACGTTACCTGGTAATAATTAGCAATATCGAAACGCACCTGCCATTTCGCCACACACATGTACATATACGTTATATAGGTCGAGCTTGAAACATAACACCCGAACAACGGAAAATAACCGCCCATTAAAAAAACACTACAATGATTTATTTTATCCTGGTCAGTATTTTTTTTATAAGTATGAAATATTTCCGGATCAAATAGCCACTCGTTTACACTCGTTAAGTGCTCTAACTGGTGCTGCTGGGAACTTGCCTGTTGCGTGCATGAATGCCTATTCAAAGATGATTGAGTTTCGCACAATGCATGACAATCACTTTGATCCACACATGCTGAGGGCAGTTAGATTCTCAGGTTTGTTTATGAATATGTTTTTTTTTTGTGTTTGTTAATGTTTGTAAATGAATGCGCGCGTGTATGCGTTTGTCTATGGGAATGTGTGTGCGTGCACTAAAGAGGTATTTTCGAGGCTGCCAGTTATTGAAATTGTTGTCATTATCATCACACTTATTATTAAAGTTACTATTGTTTCTAGCATTATCAACACTGTTATTATAATTATTGATTATTAATGATAATGTTATTATTGTAATAATTATTATTATTATTTTTTTTTTTTGCTTATTTTTATTATTGTCAACATCGCGTTCATTATCATTATCATATTTCTATCATTGTTGTTATTATTATTGTCATCATTATTATTTTTTGTTATTATTATTATCATTATTATCATCATTATTATTGTTATTAATTTTTTTTTATTATTACTATTGCCACCATCATCATTTTCATTATTATTATCATAGTTGTACTATAGTTGTTGTTGCTATTATTATTGTTGTTATTATTTTTATCATTATTGTTGCTATAATTATTAACATTCTCATCATTGTCATTTTTGTTATCATTATCGTTATCTTCCTCATCATCATCATCATTAGTAGTAGTACTGTCGTTGTTTCGTTGTTGTTATTATCATTATTATTTCTATTATTATCATCATCATCATCATTAGCATTATTAGTATCATTGTTGTTATTATTATCATTATTATCAAATTTATTTTTCTTATTATTATCATTATCATTTTCATTGCTATCATCATTATCATTGCTATTATCATTATCATCATCAATATTGTTGGTATAATCATTATTATTATTATAATTATCATTATTATTATTATTATTATTATTACTATCATTAACTTTATTATTGTTACTATTATTAGTATCAAGATTATCATCATTAGTATCATTATCACTATTGGCAGGATTATTATCATTACTATCATTATTAATATTATTGTTGTTGTTATTATCATCATTGCTATTAGTATTACTACTATTGTTATTATTTTTTATTATTATTGTTATCATTATTATTATTATTATCATTATTATTGTCATTATGACTAATGTTATTATTATCGTTATTGTTGTTGTTATTATTATTATTATTGTTATTATTATTATCATAATTATTATTATTATTATCATTATTATTATTATCATTATTATCATCATCATCATCATCATTGCTTTTATCATCATTATCATCATCATTGTTTTTATTATTAGTATTATTGTTATTATTGTCATCATTATTATTGTTATCAGCACTATCATTTTATCATTATTACTATTATAGTTCCTACTATTATTATTATCATTATTGTTATAATTATTATTGTTAATATTGATATTATTATTATTATCATTATTATTGTTTTAGTTGTTACTATTAACTGTTATTATCATTATCGTTATTGTCATTATAACTACCGTTATCAGTGATATTATTGCTATTATCATTATTAGGAATTTCATAATTAATTGTTATCATTATTACTATTATCTTTATTGGCATTATTATCATCATTATCGTTATTGGCATTATTATTATCATTATCATTATTATCATTAGTGTTTTATCATTATTGTTGTTATCATCATTATCACAATATATATAATTATTATTATTATTATCTTTGTTATTAGTATCATTGTTACTACTACTATTATTATTATTATCATCAATATTATATTTATCATTATCATCGTTATTATTGTTATTATTATCATTATTATTACTTTTTATCTTTATTTTTGTTGTTGTTTTGTTGTAGTTTTTGTTGTCTTTGTCATTATTATTGTTATACTTATTATTGTTACTATTATCATTATCATTATTTTCACTATTATGATTATAATTAGTAGTATCTCCATTTTCCTCAGTATCATTACCATTATCATCACTGTTATGTTATTATCATTATCATCATCATTACTATCATTATCATTATCATCACTTTTATCATTATAATTATTAATATTAAAATCTTTGTTTAAACCAATGATTCCCAAACTGGAGGCCATGTAGCAGAATGTAGAGGCCTTAATCTGAGGATACGTATATAAATAAAAACAAAAAACAAGAAAGAAAACAAAAAACAAAGGAGTTCAGCCTAACGTACAGGTTCAAGTACAGAGTTTGTGCATTCCCTGATGACTGATGTTTAATATGTTCCCTTTCTGTTATCTGTGTAATTACCTTTTTTTATCTGATTGTTTGTTCTTGACGAGACAATGAGGCGACTTAGGGTAGTGAATAATTTCATCTTGACATAATTCCTGTACTATGGGTTATTATTGCTTTGCTTGTTTGTTTGTTGTTGAAACGGCTTTTCGCAATAATGCAGTTTTTTTACTTATTCTAACTATGGACATTTTTTTATGCGCATTATCGGATTGTTTTAGTACCTTTTCAAATAATTACATGAGATTCACCAAGGATAAACTACAAATTTCGTTATTAATACTTAACAAAAATCAAAATAACAAATGGAATCAATAGAATCACAGGATTTGCTTGATAGTCTTTTTAATACGGACCTAATGGATGTGGGACTGACTACAAAGACTGTAGACATTCTCTGTAGTCAAGGGTTATGCTCGACGGTGGGCCATGGACAAGCAGCATGTATCAAAAATGGGTACCGACCAGAAAAAGACTGGGAAACACCGGTATTGTTATCATCATTACCTTCATCACTGTCATTGTTAATATTGTTGTCATTATTATTATTATTATTATTATCATCATTATTATTATCATTATTATAATAATTATGATTATTATGATTATCATTATTGCGATCATTATCATCATCAGCATGATTATTATCGTTTATATTGTCATTATCCTTAGCTCCATCAAGATCTTTATCCTCACTATCACTGTCTTCATTGTTATTATTATATTTGAAAGTGTGGTGACTATGTTTTATTTTCTTTGTTATCAAAAACTGTCGTCATTATTATGACAATTATTCTTATTCATCTTATCAATTTCATCAGTAGCATTACTATTGTTATCGTTCAAAGCATTATTGTTGTGGTTATCATTATCATTACGACGCAGTCACATTTTCGTACGCATTATCATCCTTATAACTCGTCCTTATTCTTATCTTGTCACTATTTTGATATCATTGTTATGGTCACTGTCATCATGGCCATTACTATCATTTTTGTTATCGTTAGTAGTAGTAGCAGCAGCAGTAGTAGAATTAGTAGCAGTAGTAGTAGTGGTAGGATAAACAGTAATAGTAGTAGTAGTAGTAGTAGGAACAGTATAAATAGTAGTAGTAGTAATAGTATAAATAGTAATAGTAGTAGTAGTAGTAGGAATAGTAGAAGTAGCAGAAGTAGTAGTAGTAGTAGTAGTAGTGGTAGTAGTGGTGATAGTAGTAGTAGTAGTAGCCTTCACCAAGAAAAAAAACAATGACAACGATACAGTAACACCAAGATAAAACCTCTCTCTCCGTATGATTTTCTTTTGCGACACCGACTAATGGCGATGTAATAGGCAACAATAGCTTTTAATTGGCTTAATGAAATGGAATTCTGATCAGAATCGTTGATCATATTCTACGAGGAAAAATAAGTGAACTTGAGAGTTTGTGATATAATGGTCTGGGCGTAATTTTCCTCTTGATATGTGGTGGATGGACATTTCTTTCATTTATTATTATTGTATTTTGTATTGAAATTTGTAATTTCATTTTTATCATCGTTATTAATTTTATTATTTTCATCTTTATCATTATCGTTATTCATTTTATTATTTTCATCTTTATCATTATCGTTATTCATTTTATTATTATCATCTTTATCATTATCGTTATTCATTTTATTATTTTCATCTTTATCATTATCGTTATTCATTTTATTATTTTCATTTTTATCATTATCGTTATCACTTCCTCCTCATTATCATTATCGTTATTTCTCTTTCATTATTATTGTCATATCCTCCTCATTATCATTATCATTATTTCTCTTTCATTATTATTATCATTTCCTCCTCATTTTCATTATCATTTCCTCCTCATTTCATTTTCATCTTTATCATTATCGTTATTCATTTTATTATTTTCATTTTTATCATTATCGTTATTCATTTTATTATTTTCATTTTTATCATTATCGTTATTCATTTTATTATTTTCATCTTTATCATTATCGTTATTCATTTTATTATTTTCATTTTTATCATTATCGTTATTCATTTTATTATT